TCCAATAAATGTCTTGAATGAGTTTTGGGTGAAGACTTTCTTTTCCCGGAGGGAAGCAGAGAAATAATGGACATCTCTGCTGGGCAACTCCCTTAGTGGAGTGGAGCAGAGAAGTAACTTTTGCTGAGCCTGAGCAGAGCACAGAGAACAAAACTGCAACACTTTCATTGGGGAAACCCTACCCTAGCTGAGCAGAGTTGTTATATTGGGGAAGCCTTTCTGTAAAGCCCAACTTTAAGCTTCTATTCTTACAATGACTTTGTGGTATTGCTTGGCTCCCAACTGCCATAATACTTTTCCATCTGAGCTGTAAGGCTTACAGTTAGTATACAGTAACATATGTTCTAACTGAAGAAAATTGAAACCAAATTTTAAAAAGAACTAAATGAATTTTCAAATTGACAATTGGGTAATAATGAAAAACTAGATAAGATATTCATAAATCAAACCTGAGATGTAAACCAATAATATAAATGTAAACGTGAAACAGTAAACCTTAACCCATGGAAGCAAAAACAACAAACTAGAAACAAACTCACACTAGCAAGGTCCAGTAGATTGGAGATTTTCTATCAGAGCCAATTTTAAGTCCAACAGTTCTGTAGACAACCACCAGCTACTTCCAAGATACAAGCACAGGAGCCCAATGCAGGCAATGCCTAACATGGGCTAATTGCTAGCATTCTTCATTATGCCTCCTGTGGTGTCACCACAAGCAACTGACAAATTATGGCTTGTCAGAACTGGCAGTGGTTTTGATCAGGTTCTGTACTACAACCAGTGCCCTGAGTATTTTTCTCATTGCCCAAACCAAATACCAGACCAGAATCAACTCTAGGGAGGAGGGGTTTATTTGTGCACAGGCTTTCAAAAGACACTGAAGCCTTGGTGATGGGAGCATCTTGTTTCCTGTAGAACTGATAGTTAGGTGGCTGGTGACACTACATTAGAAGTTCTCTGTCCCCTGGTGACACAATTCCTCTAGCTAGCTCCACATTCAAGGGTTCCAAAAAAAATCCCCAAACTAGAAACCCAGTGCTCACCATCATCCGGCAAACATTTAACACAACCTTTGTGGTACTTTGAATTATAAATATACAAATTGGTCATTTGAACACATGGATACACAAGGACAGTTGATGGTACAGTTTGGGGAACCTTATATGGTGGAGCCTTAGTGGCAGAAGTCCATCATTGGGACTGTCATTGAGATAAACAAGCCTAATCTTCATTTGCTCCCTCTGCTTCCCGCTTAAATTTGAGGATGTCACTCAGTCAACTGCTTCTTCAAGCTTTCCTAGCTGCCATGCCTCTGTCAAACCAACATGGTCTCTTGATTCTCCATAAAGAAGTCAGATATGCTCTTTCTTTCTTAAATTTCCATGTTTATAAACTTATCACAACAGAATAGTAACCAATAAACACGGGCATAGCAAAGCTGGTTTCTCCCATCCCCACCACACCCAAGTTGTCCTGAAGTTAAGGCAGATTTATTGCTGTCACTTATTACACATTGTGCGTGTCTCACCCACATCCACCAGAGAAACAATGACCACTGCAAGTAGCCTCAATTGTAGGTCCCTTCCTCTGTCGTGTAGCACAGGCCTCATATTAAACAAGCCTGCTTTTTGGTGATGATGAACCTCCTGTTCCCAGAGAAATCTTGAAGTCTGTGGAGACATACTTTGTCAGATGGGAATGAAAATGTTTCATACTCCCACTGAGTTGCCATAATTACTAGAATCCTTGTGCCTGGAAGGCAGAGCTCTCCAGTGTCCATTCCCTCTATAATACCTCTCCCCACAAAAGAAACATACAACAAAAAGAGATACAAGAGTTATCAGAAAACTTGAAAGTCCAAATAGTTAAACTAGGCAACACAATCTAGAAGAACTAATGGGTTAACAATGTCTTTGTTAACAGAAAAATTCACCAATGAATCCAACAATATCAAGAAATAATAATAATCCACATGTGTTTCAGTTGTGTATAAAACTGAGGAAAGGGATACTATGAATTCTTTTCATAAAACAAACTCTTCATAAAGCCCTTACTTGCTAACCAAGTAAAGACACCTTGAAAAGAGAAGTTTCTGTGAGGGTCCTTGACAAAGTCAGAACTGAAGAAGCTTGAGTTTGTCACACAAAGCTTCCATAGTTAACCAAAATCTACTGTTAACCAGTACATGGTTGGAAAACTAACCCTTAAGTAGACTGGAGTGACCCTGATCTTCTACAAATGAAAACATGAAAGGAAGCAGTATAGACACTTCTGTTTCATATGAAATTGTAAGAGTAGATTCTATTCCCAGAGAATCTCTGAATTACTTTGCTACAAATGTGAATAAGACATAGAAGCAAACAATAAAATTTTATAATCCAATTAGGATTTAAACATCTTTTATATAAAGTGTCAATTACCTATGCACATATAGTTAAATCTTAGTAGTAACTAAACACTCATCTATAAGTTAGACAAAATTATGTTTCTCAGGAAGGAGAGAGTTTTTATTGCCATGTTATGGTGATCGTCGGGTTTCCTTTACTGTAACAAGCATCTGGGTTAACCAACTTTTAAAGACGAAGGATTTATTTTGGCTCATGGTTTTGGAATTTATATTCCATGGTCAGATGGACAGAATAGCATGATGGGAGCAAATGTCAGAGCAAAACTCATATCCATGAGGAAAAAAAAAAGAAAGAAAGAAAGAAAGAAAATAAGATCATGGGGTTGGGGCTCCCATTCCCTTTCAGGGCATGTTCCAGTAACATAGCTTGTACTTGCTAAATTCTCTTACACCTTCTAACAGCTTCTCCTCTCAGGAGCATCATGCTGGGCCCAAGTCTTTATCATGTGGCCTCTTAGGAGAAAGTGGAGGCTTGGTAGAAAGCAACTGGCATTTTAGCTTTTGTAATATACCCTGGATTCTTGCTTCCACCACAACCTGCTCCTGCTGCTCTTGGCTTTGGAATGTTTCTATTAGAAACTAAAATGAAAAGGTAAAAGCTGATAACTTATGACCTGAAACATGCCTGCCTTTCTGTCTTCTGTGCCATCATTCACTCAGGCAACACTGTCTTGGGTACTAGGAGTAACAGGATGACAGAGACATGGAATTAGTGGGAGATAGAGATGTGTATGCTGGCAAGCAAATGCAGACAAACACAGTTAAAATGGGCAAGAATGGAAACTAGGCAAAAGAGACCCTTGGTTTGGTTACAGGTTGATCCTCATAGAATGATTGTAAGATCAAAACCCAGTTAGCTACAAACAGAGCATCATGTCTACATTCTGCTATTATCCAGATACAATGCTTTCTGTTTCTTTTATGACACAGGTCTAGGATTCCCTTTATTAAGGTTTGGATTTCTGATATTTCCTTGGAGTCCCTCCCTTATTTTACTCCCACCAGGTAGAACATATTCCCATGGGCTGGTTGCAACACATTGTCCACTGATTCTTTCCATTGTAACCAGGCAAAACCCTGATTGAGCAGGAAAGACATTAGAAATTTTATGTACATGCATATAGATGATATCTAATATTTGTGTGCTTGTACTTAAGGTAGTATATATCAGAATCAGGCGTCTAGTAAAATTGTTTTCAACTTTTCTAATGCTGTGACCCTTTAATACAGTTCCTGGTGTTGTGGTAACCCTCAAACATAAATTATTTTGTTGATCCGTGGAAAGGCTATCATAAATGCCCTTCCCGGAGAGTGAGATCAACAACTAACTTCTCCATGGAGTCCTCAACTAATGCCTGTTGAAAACAGGAGCAAACACTCATACATAAACACTGAGTCAAACTAGAACCCAGAAGCAGATGGAGAGGACAAGACCATGCGGTAGAAGTACATAGAGACAGCTTACCTGAACAAGGAGGAGCTAAGGGCCACTAGACTGATAGCTGGGAAGCCAACAGGGGTCTGACTCGGACCCCCCTGAATATGGGTCTCAGCCAGAAGGTCTGAGCAGTCTAAGAGACCTCAGACAGTGGAGCCAGGATGTATCCCTGGTGCACAAAAGGACTTTGCAAACATATCCCCCATGGAGGGATAACTGCCTTATTCTAGAGATAGGAGAGAAGCCCTAGTCCCTACTTCACGGGACCTGTCAGATCTACATGACCCCAACTGGATGGCATTCCCCTACATATTGTATTGTGGTGGGGGGTTGGGAGGGGAGGGTGTTTAGAGTGCATGGGAGAGGGTAGAGAGGGCAAAAGGGAGGGAAGGAGGGAGGGAGGGCTTGGGGGGAGGGAGGGAGGGAGGGAGGGAGAGGGAACTGGGATCGACATGTAAAATAATAATAATAAAAAAAAAAAAAACGCTTTGACTCCAAAATTTAAGTTGAAGAACAAGTTACTGGGGAAAAGTATTTCTATTTTTGTTTCCACAGAAAATGAAAAGATGTGGATTCCTTCCAGACTAATGTGGTTTGATCACACCAGACCGCCTGAAACAGAGTACAAGCTGATCCTACATTCCAAACAGCTGGACAAAACAGCCCTACAGACTACAGCTAGGATATCTGAATCTTCTTCGAATCCCCCAAGACAGCGCCCCTTACCAGCAGGAAGTAGTTTGGAAAGAACGACGCCCAAATTCCCAAATATTGTGTATAAATGTTTGTTTTCATTTAATTGGACTTTGTTATATAAAATTAAATAAAAAATACTCTATATGCATAAAAAAACAAGATAAACTCAAAAAAAATTATTTTGTTGATACTTGATAACTAATTTTGCTACTGTTATGAATCATAATATATACATCTGATATGCAGGATATCTGAAATATGACTCCAAAGAGATCATGACCCACAAGTTGAGAACCACTGTTGAGAATAGAAACTTAAATTTTGTAGTTTTCAAGATTATTTACATTTTCCTTAGATTATTAAGCTGTCTTATTGATTTGTACTGAGGAGTAGAAAGAATATACCTTAGCCATGATCCACATTTATAAAATTATAATGTTAACAATCACAGAATTTAGGCCACAATCCTCACATTTATAGCATGCTTTCAGAGATTCTTTTGGCTGGGTTGAGGCTTACAGACAGCCTCTGTGTTCTTGACATCTATCTTTATGCCTTGATCACAGTTCCATGCAGAAGTTTATAGACGTTCCTTCCATCTTCTGTTTATAGATTTCATCAAACCTCTCATTCTGGGCCACAGTGAAGTGGTTCTTCCAATCACCCACAGTGCCTTAAAAAAATGAAGCCCAGACAGGAGCATTAGTCTCTGATTGACAAACTACGTGTCCCTGAGTAGACTCTGGAGTGCCCACAGCCTGGCAGTCACAAAGTTCCTCATCACCTTAGTTCCCTTATCTGAGAGGAAGCCCTAGTAGTCCTTGGGTAGGGCACCAATTCTAAATCAAATGAACAACTGATTCAAGGAAGCTTGGATTAGCTTGGTGACCTGGGATCCTGGTTCTAGCTGTGGTATACATATATACTGGATAACCACAGTTACAAAAATGAATAAATGGCAGACATAGAACCATACCAGCATATCTTAAGATGTTATGCTGGCCCAAGATCCTGGACATAAGAAAATATATACTGTGACATTTCATGCATATGCCATCTAAAAACAAGCAAAATCAGTGGTTCTCTATAGGAAGAGATTGACTGGAAAGAACACCAAGATGATAGGGTTCTTTGCTGCCTTGATGTTTTTGTTTTTTCTTTTTAATAAACTGTACAGTTAATTTTTGTGGGTTGTTTTTTTATGTACATTATATATCTTAAAAAAAGAATTTAGATATACTTATGATGAAATACTATATTTCAACAAACGTCATTAAAATAACTGTAGAGAGGGAAATACTCTTTGAAACACCTGTGGTTTTTGTGGGAAATTATTCAGTGATGAACAAAAATGTTTATTGTAGCATGAATCATAAAAAACTTAAACATAATATCTATAGTTTCTTTAATTGGAGAAGTAATTGACAAATGGCAGACTATCCATTAGACCCATACAAACAGTGATGTGTTGAGATCTATGCTTTCTTGACCTGGAGAGATGTTTCATATTCTGGTAAGCAAAAGTGTATAGTGTAGCCACAGTTTGCGTTTTAATGAACAAATTTCTATCATGGTATCTATATTTGTGTGTCTATGGGCCAAAGCAAGCGAGCGAAACGCAAACACAAGTGTATGTGGAAAATGGCAGATATAGATGGCTCACCATTGAGAAAACAGGTAGAGATGTTTTACTTCCAGGGCTTGGGATACTTTGCAGATGGCAAAGATTATGAAATAAATTAACTCATGTACGGAAAAGGAAAGATGTTTTAGAGCAATACATAAACCCCAGTTCCTGGTTGTATTGTTATGGAAAAAAATACATATGCTAATGATATGGGAGAAGCTTTGTGCTGTTCCTAGCTTCTTAGGAAAGGTTTTTTTTTTTTTTTTTGAGATCTGTGTGAAATGGTCAAATCAGTAATTTTTTTTTAAGTTAATGTACTCATTTTAAAGTAAACAACACTTTAAAACAATAACATTTTAATCCTAAAAACTGGGGTTAAATCAGAATTCCTCTTTCAGGAAGTATTAAGAGGCTAGTTTACAGCAGTACATGTTAAAAGTCATGAGCCTGAGCAGTTTGGGGTTCTGGTCAAAACTAAGTCATGCACAGAAGCTGAAGCAGTAGCTATAGGAGAAAGTCACAGGGATGGAAGACAGGATGCATGTGTGGACAGTAGCTGTAGAGCTGTAGAGCCTTCAGCAGAGTGCTAGCTCCTGCTTCCAAGATCTCAGGTATGATGAGTCTAACCTCAGACAGGATTCCCAGTGAGGTATGCACCAAGAATAACTCTGGCCTTAGTTCTCTGTAAGACTTGGATTGTAGAACCTATGTTCAATAGGAAAGAGTCTCTAGCCTTCTTAGGAGTATAATGTGTGTATTGGGGGTGTGCTGTCATAGAATTAGAGATTAAAAAATCCCCACAAACCTTTTCTCATGAAAGGGGATATGGACTGGTCCAGGATAGATTTGGGAACCGTTGAACGATTTGTCATAGGATTCTCTTTCATTTTCTCAAATGATGTCTCCTGGACGATTTTATCCAGCACTGTTTCATCCAAGTTCTTTCCCATGAACTGCATTACCTTCTGGATTTCATGCTTTGGGTCCTGTGGGTGAAGGTAACATTGAGGTGAATGGAATCGAGTTTTAACATTAACTCTATTTTTCCAGACATCCCTGTCAGACACATTCCTCAAACAGCTTCCCTGCCAATGATCCCGAAGCAGTAATTTACTTACCCTCTTCATATCTTCATAGAAGAGGAAGAGAATCTGTTGTCTGTCTCGAATTTCCCACCATCCTCTCACATGGTCAAACCAGGATCCCCAGTTTACTGTGACAAACAAGAACAGTTTTCATGAGCACAAACCTTCTGAGAGTCAGGCTCTCCTCCTCCTCTTTCCCTTTTCCTCCTCCTCTTTCCCTTCTCCTCTTCCTCTTGTTATTCTTGTGCATCAGGGACATGGTAGAAGGAAAAATCTTGTGCCTGAAATATCCTAAGGAACACTGAGCTTCTTGATTCTGAACTCATGTGCTTTGGGTCAGTCTTAGGTTTTTTTTGTGGGGGGGGCTTAATATGTTGATTAAAGTGTTCCTTGTTGCTTATGCACAATCACCTGCACCTCATATGATAACATGTACACCTAGGATGAGGGTGGCTCTATAGGCCAGAATCCCTGAATAAAGGCTTTTAAAGTAGGATGGGGCTGCTTGCTGAGATCTGGGGTTCTGCACAGTGAAAGAAATCAGCCCCCTTTACTTGGCCCCTGTCAGTGGTGGGACTTGTCTAAGGAGCACATGACATTCTGGAGACCAACTGTCATGAGTGGTCCTCCCAACTCAGTTTTGCTGGAGTAAGAACACAGGGGTACCCGGCATTTCTATTTACCTTTCCCATTGATGAAGATTTCAAAAAACTCATCCCAGGTGCCTGGATCTGGGAGTACCTGGCTCATCCTATAGAAGTGGTAGTAGGAGACCATGCAGTCTTTGGCATTCCGAGCCACATAAATAAACTTTGGAGAAGAAGAGAGGTGGGTTAAAGGGGCATAAACATGTGAAGTTTTGAGTTCTCCTCTGGTTGAGTCCTCTTGAGGGATGCTCAGCTTGCCTGCACTGGCAACACAACCTGGAGCATCATTGCCAATTAAGCTGCTTCCAGCCAGGTCCTATTAACTCACTAACAGTTAGCTCAAGTCTTGAATAAAGGGCCAGGTTGAGGAACACTGCTGAGAAATCTTGTTGCTGTCTCAGGGATTTAAGTCACTATACTGCCAATGCTTCTCAGCAATTATTAGCTAATCCTGGGACCTCAGCTCTACCCACTGCTGGGTTGCACTATCCTTGTACACACCTAGCCTGGTCCAACATCCTCTATGTGACAAGAACACACTAGACTCTAAGGTACATGTAACAGTCCTAGAAAAAGCAAAACAAACATGGGGGTTTCTGAGCCTGCAGACAAGCACCCTCTCTGTGTCTCTGCTTTGATTTGCTATTCTGAACAGTTCTTGGACCTTTTTCTGCTCAATCTGTCTCTGCTCCAGTCTCTACCTCCTACAGGCTATACTATGATTCCTGCTCCCCACTGCACCTCCCAGTCTGCTTCACTGAAGAAAAGATTATCTCTAACAACTCAGTCTGGCCTCTGCCTTCATATCATATTTGAAACCAACCAGGGAAACACTCTACTTCATGTTTGACATTACTGCTGAGTGTTAGCACTCAGGGGTAATGGATAGATAGTGCCAAGGAAGGTGTTCTCACCCAGGTTATGGAGACCTAGCTCTCTGGGCTTCCTGCCCCAGGCACCCAGGGAACTGCTGCTATCTTACCTTACAGTTACTTGTCCAGAAAGATGGTGGCAGCAGCTGAGTGGGAAGATGGGTCTTTAGTGTCCTTGGAGCTGGCATCTCATTGGCTTTATCCACACCTTTAACAGAGTTCAGGAGATGCTCAACACATGGGAACTTCCACTCCAAGTGATGCTCAACTTACCCATCATCTACACATGGATTTTCTTTTCTGTTTGTTTTTTAGGGGACCCCTTAGAGGGATTACTAGTATTTCTTTTGTGTTTTTAAGAGAATGGTAGACCCCAGGATATCAGAGAGCTACCAGTGGCAACACAGAACTCACCTGTGCAGTGGGTACAACCTCAACTAGAAGTCACCACACAACTGGAATTGCACATTCCTATCCTGGAATTCCTTCTCCTGCTGCTGTAGAGGCATCAGAGACAGCCTGGCTATAGGAAACCTTCCATATCCTCTGAGACCTATAAGAAGAGCCTCTTTCCCTCATTCTACCTATTCTATCTAGGTTCTCCCTCCGGTTCTGTGATGTGATATTTCATATGTGAGGCAAAAAAACATTCATACTGACACATGGTTTATGATTATTTGCACTTCTATTTGAAACTCTAATAAGGACTTGCATTATAAAATCATTGGGTTAAACTGAGGTGAGGGAAATAAAGAGAATACAAACTCTAATGGGGTTTCTTTCATTGAGAAGTTAGATGTTTGCGAGTAATGCCATTGGGAACTGGGTAGAAGTAATCCTGAGGACTAAGGTCGCTTCAAGACTAGGGTGAATTTAAGCTGTTAGGTGGCACATTTGAATCTGGACTCTGATCCATAGGCAATGGTAAAGATTCTTTTACACTAAGAACCAGGAAGCCTGTCACAGAGAGGAGAACATTTTTAAAAACTAGAAGTGTGACTGATTAATAAGCAGCATTTAACTATCAATGTGCAGCAAGAAGGTGTGCTGTGAAGTGACTTTCCACATTATGTGCATGATGTGAGGTCTGGAAAGTGACCAGGTGTAATGGTTATTTTCTATTGTTAACTTGATGGGACTGGGAATCACTGTGAAATATATATCCCATGTTGCTCATGGCTGTAACTCAGTTCCACAGTGAAAGAGAGCATGTTAAACAAAGTAATGAGAAGTGTGCAATTAGGCAAGGAAAGAAGCATGCTTGATTTGAAGGTTCAGAGAAGGCAGAATGGAAGCAGCTATTAGTTAAAGAGACATGCCCCTGGGGGACAGAATAAAGAGGCACTGGAAGGCAGAAAGGCAGGAGAGGCTGTGCTGACAGCTGCCCTCTGTGGACCCTGGAGCTTTGCTCAGTGACCCCTGCAGGGAAGAGGCTGATCACTCTAGCCTCTAGAAGGTCAGAATACAGAGCAGCAATCTATGTGTGTCTGAGGTGAAATACTTGTCATCTCAGGAAAAGGGTAAGATAGAAAAAACTTGATCTACTTGTAATTTCTTTGTGCCTTCCTTGGCTGTGTTGCATAAAATTTCTTCTTCCTTGAGAGTGTGAAATCACACACTGTCCTACATAGGCATCCTATCTAGTTGATCCAAAAATTAAGCTATTCTAGATGGGGAATGCTCTAAGTCAGTTCAGAACAAATAAGGAAACAAATCACATGAATGGGAGTTAGAAAACACAGCCTAAGGTATTACACGCCCCCCAAAAAACCATTCACAGTCAGGGTAGTCTAACCCACAGAGGAGTCACAGCAGGGCTGGACCAGACATGGGACTACAAAGTGGCCACTTACACAGTCAGGGATTTCTAGAAACGGGCAGAAAGGATATACTGACTTGAAGACATTGCCTTGCCTGGGTCACGGGTTGCTAAGTGCATCTGCTCAGGGGATTCTTGTCTTGAGATATTTGGAAGGACTCATCAGAACCTGCCAGTGACTGTTCCAAGAGTGACACAACTTCAAGGTTAGTATGGTCCTACATTCCCCTCACAGCAGCAGTTGGTCATTAGAGTTCCAACGCCTTTGTTAACATCACTCTGCAATGTGATGCCTGAAGAAAATCAGCCCCTGCCCTGGTGTCTGTCTTCTGGTTGCCTTGGTGAACTTGCCCCCATGTGTGAAGAGAAAAATCATCAGGTTAAGTGTTATGTGAAAAAAAGCTTTTCAACTGGGCAAAAGTAATTGACGTGTGTGTGTGTGTGTGTGTGTGTGTGTGTGTGTGAGAGAGAGAGAGAGAGAGAGAGAGAGAGAGAGAGAGAGAGAGAGAGAGAATTATCAGACACTGTGCAGGAAACACTTGGTTATAATAGGATAGGGTACTGAGAGCAGAGGGATGTGAGCTGCTGATGAGTCAAGTTTTGCACCTTCCAGTGTTCTACAGTTGCATCTGAACAGAGGAAAAATATGATAAGAAAATAAGGCAGAACTTCACCTTTACATACGTCATTCTCCCTTGCTGACTCATATTTTATGGGAATAAAGACAAGAAAAGAGATGGATCTAGGCATAGTGCCTTTAACTCAGCACTCAGAAGAAAGATGCAAGTAGATGTCTGTGAGTTCGAGGCCAGCCTGATCTACATAGTAAATTCCAGGACAGCCAGGGCCATGTATAGAGATTCTGCCTCAAAAAACTGGGAAGGGGGTGGGGGGAGGGGAAGAGGAACAGGAGGAGAGATTAAGAGACAAGGCAAGGAGAGACAAGACAGGATGGGAACACACAAGGAGTCAGGGCTCTTACCTGATGGCTGGGGTGGCCGTGCCCACTCAATAAAAGGGTGCCGGTGTTGAATGAGGGCTCGCTGGCACTTCTCTACATCCCCATTGTGCTCAATCATGTCTACAATTTCTTGAATCCATGTTGTCCCTGAGGAGACAGTGAAGAGTAAGAGTCCTAAACCCAGTATGCTTTCTTGAAGCACCCTGAAGAAGGGATGTGGGGCCAGGTGTCAGCTTCACCTTCTACTTGGACCAGGGTCCTCCTGTTAGCTATGGCAGGAAGACGTTGGATCTCTGTGGAGAATAGAATGGCGGAGGCAAAGCTCACCTCTTCCAAGAACAGTGAATGGCAGAGGAGAGTGAGCTTCAGAAAACTCAGGGCTACAGACATTTGAGATGGAGATCACCAAGGGACAAAGCCACTGCAGGGAGTTCTAACTAGGTGAGGAGTTCAGAAGGCTCAGAAGGTGGGGCTGGAGCTGTCACTCTGCTGAGTTACCTGATTTAGGATAAGTACAAATGAGGAGGTCATCTGGCTTGGCCTTGAAGGTCTGAATCTGGCTCCAGTTGTCCACAGTGTCAGCCATCAGGGAGATCCCTGCTATCTCTGCTATCCCTTTCCATTTTGTTGGTTTGCTCAATTCTGGGGTCTGAGCCATAGTGTCTCAAGGTGAAGGGTACAGTCCCTGTGAGAAAAGAACAGAATGGAATTTTAAAAATACAGTGACAAAGCATACACAGCATGAAAAGGACTCTTAGTTCTATGACATTAGTAATATTCTCACTGTTATATGTCCATCATCACCTTCTATCTCCAGAGAACCTTTGACTTTACTAGATGGAAACTATATGTCAATGCTAAATCTCTGATCCCTGGTCCCTGGCTACCTCCAGGGTTTATATTCTAGCACGCCATCAGATTTCCTTCCTAATTAATGATAACTATGCCTGCTTGAACTGTTTTGTTTATCCATTTGCTTATCCATGGGCACCTGAGTGCCTTCTTTTACATAGTACATGGATAATGCCAATATAAACACAATACACAAATATCCAAGCCCCCAGTGTCCATATTTTGGGGTATACAACTCAAAGCACAGTTGCAGGGTTATATGTTCAGTTTATTAAAAGTTCTAATACCACCTTTCTTCAGTGCCTATATCATTTGAGACATCACCAGCAGTGTATAGAACTCTCTAATTGTCACTGGCATTTAATGTAACTGTTTTAAATATCCATCCCAATAGATTTGTTTTGCATTTTCTTCATGAATGTCTTCTTGTGTGCTTTTAGTCTACTTTGCCTTTTTTGGAGAGATGCATGTTTTTGTGTTGTTTGTTTGCTACTGTTTGGTATACCTAGATGACTTGGAAATATAAAAAAAAAAAAAAAAAAAAAAAAAAAAAAGGAGAGCAGGAAGAGTGAGCCTCTGTTACTCAAGATTAAGTGAATATTGCAATTCCAGAAGACATTTACTACTGCCACACAGAGAAAGAACAAGGTGACATTCAATGACTGGCTACTGTGTGCTGGGCTGAGTACCTTATACACTAACTAATTTTAATTCTTACATAACTTGAGCTGCAGAACATTAGAAGGGGAGGATCTTTATGGAAAGTATAAGAGTAAGTATTTACTGGAATTTGAATAAAGGAAACTGTCTCATCCACTCCAGGGAATAAGGAAGAAATAATGTGTTCAGTCTGGCCAGATCAGCTTTCAGGGTGACTTAGACTCTCAGAAATAGCTGGGTTCTCTAGAACAGACACAGTAGTTTTAGAAAATGGAAAACTAATTATTCTTGAAAACATTTCAAATATAAGCAGCAGTTATCATAATATGGCAGAGAGGGTGGGACACTCTGCGATGTGGTGCAGCAGCTTCAGCAGACTACACCTCCTCTTTCTTTTGGGGGATCTCTTTCTTTTGGGACAGGGTCTCTCTCATACCCCAAGATGCTCCAGAATTCACTGTGTATCCCAGGCTGGCATTGAATTCACAATCCCCTGCCTCAGTCCCCTCTGTGCTGAAGTAACAAGTGTAATCTACATCACTTGGTTTGGACCATTAGGATTGCTCATGGGTCTGTACCTTGTGTTAGCTCCTGCCCAAAAATTAACCTCCTCTTTTAATTCACATCCTAATTTTGACACAAAGAACTAATTATCATTTTTCTGAATATAGGAAGGCTTATGAGTCATAGGACCAATTGTTAGGAACTAGCAGCCTGCTGACCCCCGCCCTGACGACGGGCAGGACGCTCATGGCCGTGTCCATGTCATCGCTATGTCAGCCTTACCTGGCTGCCAGAGGACTCAGTTAAGCAAGCGCAAGCCCCCTTTTAAAGCAAGCGCACCAAGTGTGTGTGTGTCTCTCTCTCTGGTCTCTCTCTGGTCTCTCTCTGGTCTTTTTCTGGTTCCTCTCTCTGGTTTCTCTCTCATCCCCTCCCCTCTCTCTCTCTCTCTCTCTCTCTCTCTCTCTCTCTCTCTCTCTCTCTCTCTCCTGCTTTCGGTTGGCCACCAGCTACCCCCTCTTTCTCTCCCTTCTCTCAATAAACTCCACGTGGGCACTGAATCTAGTGTTTGTGTTTCTTAGGCATTAGCTGCAGCAAAAGAACAACAATGGCTTGCTCAGGACCTCAGCTAGTATCTGCCTGCGAATCCCGTCATCTTTCTTTTAAAATTGCCTCATTTTAATTTGTATGCATTGAAATTTGGAAATCCCTTGCAATAATCCCATATTCACAAGAAAGGCTATATCATCCAGGAGCTGTTATTATGTCATGTATTTTCGTCCTTTTCAAATGCAAATTATGTTATGCAACATTATGGCTCCCAAAAGTGTTCTCATCCTAATGTTCAATAGAACATTGGTGAAAGATGTGGGGGCACTCAGTGTAGTTTCACTTGGTTGCCACCGCCAGCTCAGAGACAAAGAAACAGACCTCAAGGCCTCTCTAGAAGCTGAGGATGAAGCTTTGGCAGCAGCCTGGGTCCTTCACTTGCACAGAACTGAAGGCCAATGAGCAGATGAACTGAGCAGGGATCTCCTCCAGAACCTCCAGGAGTGCAACTCTACCCCTTGATTTTACCCAGAGCCTGTGATCCTTCAGATTTTTGACCTCCCAGAGTTAAAATGATGATCAGCAGGTTGTGAGGGAAAGCAGCATGAGGGAAGCTAGGCAGGAAGATTGTGAGTCTGGGTTACAGGGAGACTATGTTTCAAAACATCAAAATAAAACAACAGCAATAAAAAAGTATGATTTAGTAAACCCAGGCTCCCCCCATCCCCCAACAGGGTTCTAATATGTATTACCATGTATACCAAGTTGGCCTCAAACTTGCCAGGATCCTTCTGCCTCTGCCTCCCAAATGCTTGGATTATAGACATGTACTATCACATGTATTATCACATGTACTACCACATGCTTGTGTCATTTTAAGTCATTAAATTTGTGAACAATAGAAAACTATTTTTGTATACTTATATTGCAAAAAGATTGTTGGATTTAATGGACTGAATCAGGTGCCTCCAAATTCATATGTTGGCACTCCAATCTCCATACTGTAGAATGTAACTGTTTAAGAGGGACCTTAGGGGTTGATTAAGTCGACATTAGGTCTTTAGGTTAGGCTCTAATTCAACATCACATCTCAGTGTGAATGAAGATTTCTGTCTTTCTCCATGGTCACTCTTTCTTTCTCCTTACAGAGCCATGGGGGATTCCTTTATTCAATCAATTCATTTTTAGAAGCCAGACTTCTAAACAACACAAGAGGATGAAGGTTCTATCCTTTATCATTAATTAACATAAGACTGGCTCTGAGGCTCAAGCTCCAGTAGGAGCTTGGAAGAACAAATCACATTTCAACCATAGCTAGGACCCTCCAGCAAAACTTGGTAGGAAGTCTACAGGGCTTAGTGCCTTAACATGGCATGTGTGGAAATGGGCAAGGATTAAAAAAAAAAAAAAAAAAAAAAAAAAAAAAAAAAGGGAGGCAGGCAGGCATTGTAAAAATCTTAATGTTTTATCCTGCAGATATCAAAGAACTAGCCTACACTGGGCTTAGGGAGGTTTAGAGTTGTGGCCTGGAGGTAATGGCAGACAGTTTTGATTCAGCATAGACCACCCTAACCCTGCAGCAGACTCTTTGTACTAAGACAGGTAGAGCTGAGGTGCTGGGTGAGGCTATGAAAGTGTATGAGCCATCAGGTCAGGCTTGAGGTGTGTTCAGTAGAGGTTTACCTACCGTGCACCATTCCCAGGTTGGGAAGTGGGTGAGGGGGTGATGGTTCCTGAATGTTTGATCCTACAATGATTCAAAAGCTGTAGGCACTCAGTAGAAATCTGATCCTCAAATTTGGATCTGTCCCCAGAGTTGTAGTTAGTGTGTAGTTCAAACCTGTCTCCTGCTGCTGGGCAGCAGCTGATCATGGTGAACAACTGACTGACTCTCCAGCCTGCTATGCTCCTGAGCACCAGGCCTGGCAGGTTATGTATAGCAAATGCTGGCATTTTCTACTTCTGATAACCTCATGGAATATCAAGAGGCACACAGCATGTCTGATGGCCACAGTATGCAGGGCTGTGAGAGAAAGACAGCCATCAGAACCTGCTACTGCTTCCAAGGGCTGGCAGTGTATTCAAAGTACTTGCTGCCTAGTGTATTGTGTCCCCACCCACTGTGTTTGAGGTCCACTGGGTAGAACTTGATAGAAGCCTTGGGGCAGGAGGTGCAGTGGGAGGTTGGAGAGAGTGGGACAATGCTGTGAGTCCCTATAAAAATGTCAAGACCTTATCACCCTCCCCCTCTACTGATAGGTTACATCAGCTATGGTCCCTGCTACTTTTAGAGTTGGACAGATAGACACACAAACTTTCCCAGACAGCCTTCTTTTCATCCTGACAGGCTCTCTGAGCAGAAGCAGTTGCTCTTTTCCATGCAGTTAGCCTTTTTGCTTCATTTTCTGAGACACACTGTCCTTCAGGCAGGCCTCAAACACACAGCAGTCCTTCACTCTCACCCTCCAGTGGACCTAACATTGCATGTAAACTTTATAGATTCTTTCTTGAGCAGAGGACCCAGCCAAGCCCCTTTTATAGGACCAGCTTGAGTGGTGGCCAGAGGCTGGGACAAATGGAGAGCACTGTGGGGAGAAAAAAAAAAAACCAGTCATAGCCAGAGAAGTCTAGTTGACTGGCAAGAGGAGAGGCTGTTGGGGGTGGGAGTGGGGGGATAGGTATATAAGGTATCCTTAGGAGGAGAGTGTATGAATTTCTAATGTGAATGCAAGCCAGTGTTGGTTTCATATGCCTTTATTATTTTCCCCAGGTTTCTTAGGACTTAGGATCTTTCCAGTTTGAGCTAAACTGCTTCTACATTAGCACATGCATGACTGAAGACTAAGAACATACACCAACAAATTAGGCCAGATATTTAAAATAAGTTGTGTCCTTACCTTCAAGCTCTAGCTGTCAGTAATCTCAAGGCTGGACTGCCCCGAGTTCTTTGAGTGCAAAAGTACATTTGGAGGAAGCAGGAAAGCATTTCCAGGGTATGGCAAGCACAGAGGTTCAAATTCTATTGTGCTAAAAGTACTCCACCTTCAACAGGTAGCCAGCCATCCAGAAAGCTCTACTGTTAGTGTTGGCAGCTATAGCCTCAACCAGAAGAGTCAAAACAGCAAGAAACAAATCTTGGCATCTACCCAATGAGGAAGTAACTTTTATTGTATAGTGACTGCTTGAGTACAAATCTCAACTACCTTCAGAACCAGAAGACTCAAGGCTGTTTAGCATGGAGACAAACACCCTGCTCCTCCCTCTCTGTGACTACCTAGTGCCCCACTGTGCTCAGCCTCCTGGCTTTGCAGCAGAGCACCTTGGGTTTCTCCCCCACCCCTAGTCTGACAGAGAGTCTAAAATGTGCACAGGCTCAGGTGTTGCCATGCTTATGGTTGAAAAAGAAAGAGCTCATGACTGTCTGAGTGTAGTCCTCATTAGTTATTCAAACTAGCAGCATGAGCCTGATATCCATTGCCCAATGCTCGCCTTTCAAGACTGATGATGCTAAGATTTACCAAGCCAACAGATTATTAATCACCAGTAAACCAACTCCCATCCTCCCTGTCTACAATGAAAAGAAACTTTAAACCTGTGTAAGTTGAAAAGGAATTTCAGGACACTAGTTCATTATCTTAGTCTTGCTAGCTTGCTGAATAAATCTTTTTCCTTCCACAATAGCTAGACTTTAGTTCCTTAGGCCCCATTTTACTAGTAAATAAATAGACTTGGTTTTAATAATGAGGAAACTAACAACCTGGCTGCAGGGTCTCAGGCATCTAGCTGGACCTTCTTTGAGAATCATTTTTTACATCTATAAAATGTAAGACATGCTAACTACCTCTCATCAATACTATTAGATTAAAAAACAAGGTGATGAACATGCCCAGCTAGCACCAAACATTCACACATAAAATAAAATGTCTAAACAATTAAATAAGCAACAAAGCAAATAACATTTTTCTTGTTAGTCAAGGTCATTTGAAATTTTTTCTTGTCTTTTAAAGAGCTAACAATCTCACACAACTTGAAAATTTAGTAGCATATTTTCTTATACTATTTGATTGTGAGTCTAGCCTTTAAGAGCTGAGCAATCTCTGCAGCCTTAATAACATAATTCCTATGCAGTGTTTAAATCCAATTCACTTGAAGAACTAAATAAAGTCAAGGCTATAGATCAGCAGATCTCAAATCCTAGCAGGTATCCTGCATATCAGATATTTTACATTACTATTCATAACAATAGCAACATTACAGTAATGAGGTAGCAGCAAAATAATTTTATGATTAGTAGTCACCACAACTTGAGGAACTGTTTTTAAAGAGTCCCAACATTTGGAATGTAGAGAACAACTGATCTAGTCTCTCATTACTTACAGGATGGTGTGTAGAGGCAAGCAATGTGTACCAATGCCTCAGGTAGAGTGCACGTCCTGTTTTTCTGAGAGAGTCTCTTACCAGGATCCTCCTTTAGACTAGTGGATGCCCTGCCCCAAGGCATATAACTGGTAGCATGAGAATCCACCCACACTGGCCCCATTCAGGAAGCGTGGGCACATGTTGGCATGATTGCTGTGGCTTTCTTTCTTCAGGAAATCACTTTCCAACATTGCTGTACTGGATTCTGATTAATTAGCTTACTTTTGATAATAGTGGCCACACCTAGGTTTGAAACTAGTGTTGTATTTCTGTTCTCTGTAGAAAAGGACATGCAGGTTGAATTAATTCTCAATGTGGGAGGAATTGACAGAAGCATACTTCTTGGAAATCAGTCTTCTGTGGGGAACAGTACAGCATATGCATCTCTGGTGAGACTCAAGTAGACCACTGGTGGCTACTAGCTTCTGAAATCATGGTCTATTTCGAAAACCAAAAGGTGCTGCCAACAGATAAGGGGTGTCTGTGGATTCCATAAAAATACGGAGATAGGTTCAGAGGAGTGCCCCTTAATAAATAAAAGAGAAAAAATAGAGATACTGAGGTTGCTCCAGTAACTGGTGATCACTACCATTCATTCATTCATTCATTCACTCATTCATTCGTTCATTCACTATTTGCTGATCACTAGGACTTACATTAGACATGGAGTGTGCAACAAAATAAGTCTTCATACAGTCTTCTTACAATTTTTGAAAACTTGACATTTGTCTCTCTTGCTACTGCCCTCAAAAATCTTAAGATGAAAGGCTTATAATCTTCTGGGCTGTGTGTAGACCTGAGCAGAGGGCCCTCCTTTCTCCTGTCTGGGCCTCCTGCTTCTCTAAGAAGATGGAGTTCTAGGGGACAGGTGAGATAAAACAATAGGGCATAGGGCAATTTGATCCCCTGTTCACTCTGTTCAGATCTTACTGGCTGGTAACCACAGTTTTCTTTCTGAAAACCTTCAATGGTGACACCTTTACAAAGCAGGGGTCTTTGTTTGTTTTCCTCTTTCTATAAGAAAAAAACTTCGACTAGGTAATTTATCAAGAATAGGAAGCCTCAGGATGCATCAGCAATAAGTCAGAAGCATCACACACTGAATCTGAACAAAAGCTCTCAGTTCTTATCCTTGCCTTGTAAAGACACTAGTGACACCACACATTTTTGTCTTCACCCAATCCTGCTCACTTCTCAAGGCCCCTTCTAAGTAGCATTAACACATGAATGAAGGGGGATTGTTTGCAGCTCTTAGACTTGGGGTAAATTTCAAACTTAGCAGTGAGGACCAGACATGGTATCTTTGTACATGTGGTAAATGTTATGGTTTATGACCATATTGTAAGTTTACAACTACACAATTCTCCATTGCCTGGGAAAGCAGCCATAGAACACTAAGTGGGTAGACATGGCTGTGCCCCAATAAAACATTATACACAAATATAGATAGTGAGCTGTGGTTTGCCCATTCTGGTACACAGAACAGAGGAAACCCTTGCACTTGAAACAACACCCCACCCCTTCTGTAAACATTTTCTTACCTCCACCTTGGAATCTCTGTTGCTGTCCTCCATTGTTACATTGCCCTCCAGCCTTCATCTGAAAGCCTTGATATTGCTATCTTTTCCATAGTTTTCTTTCCCTCTTTTTGGACACAAGTTCATGTAGCTGAGGCTGTGTAGCCTAGCCTTACTGTGAACTACTCTGCTTCCACTTCCTAAATACTGGAATCATAAGTGTCTCTTCACCACATTTTAATCACCTATTTTTTTTTCTTTTTATAAAAATTTCATCTGAAAAAATAATAAAAATTTCATTTGGGTATAGTTTGGGCACCATGTAGGTAATGCATTTAAACTGTGCAAGCCAATTAGCCCTAAGAACTTTCTTTTTAAAATTACTTTCATTGTGTCCCATTGATTTGGTATGTCATGCTGGGGTGGGCTTTGGCAATACAGTTGTCTTTGAGTCATTTTTTCCACTGTAAGCAATCCCCTCACCAATACTCTTGTGAGTAATCCCAGTAAAATTTACTGGTTCACTAAGTTGGACTTCCATGCTATTTTTACTTCATTCTGTCTTGGGATCCTTATCAGGGATGAGTAGCCATTATTATATCATCTCCCCAGGAAAAGTCTTGTCACACAACACCTAGGAAGTTGGGTCACCAACATGCAAGTGCCATTCACTTCACCTTTATGGATATCTTGACATGCTGCTCATTGTTGTGGGTCGCAGGTGTCATAGTACTCTTAATTGCTCCTCTCCCTTGGTAACTTACATAGTATTTTCTAGTACCAAGGAAGCCAGGCTACAGGAATGAGGCTTTCAGATTGTATCCAGCTCATATCAACATAATTCTTTGTCCTAAGTGGGTGGTATCTTCACCAAGAGGGACATATCTTCACTTTGACAGGCAACTGAGGGCAACAGCCATAGTCTATATTGTTTTAGAAGTTACTTGAACCACCCAAGTAAACTGTTCTAAAAGATAGTTCTTCTGCCTTGTATAGGGTTTTTTTGTTAGTCTGTGGTTCTTGTGGGGCACATTAACCCTAGTGGCATAATTTCCTACAGGAATAAGCAAGCACTTGTATGCATTGTTTTTGTGATTTTTAGGTAAATATGAAATAATAAGATTTCTTGTGCCTTTTCAAACAACTTTGACGTTGTCACTCACCCCTTTCTGCTTTGTCCTCCCTCTGCCCTCCCATTTTTTCATTCTACCTTCATATCACTTGTATTTTGCTATTCCCCTCTCAAGCCAACCACCATGGTCTCTTTATACTTCCCTTGTTTCTGTGGTTATTTGGTGGTGTTGCATACTTACATCTGGAGATGTGCAAGTACATATCTGAAGGAACTGCAGTCAGGAGAGAACATGTGACATTTGTCTTAGCATCTCCCTCAGGTGTCTCTTCATCAGCAGTCTCTGGGCATAGTGGCAGGCTTGGCTCTGGGAGAAAGCTGACGGACTCACTGGGCAGTATTCTGAGCACAGAAAACCTCAAAGCCTGCCACAACAGTGACACACTTCCTCCAAAAAAATGCCAAGTCACGTATCCTAACAGTGCCATTCCCTATGAGATTATGGGGAGTGAATTATATTCAAACTATCACACTCTTCCAGAAGACCTAGGTTCAGTTCTAGGGGACCCATAAGGTCACAGACATACATGCATGTTGGGCCTAAAGAGGCCTGGGTGTGAGGCCCAGTGCAACCTCCTGAGCCTGCCTGGAGTTTGGTGACCTGTCTTTGGCCTGTTACCACCACATGGGATGACTCAGGAAGGCCTAATGTAAGAGTGCACTCTGCCTAGGTAACTGCTAGCTTGGTGGAATATTATTGGCCCTTTCTCTTCACATCACCTTACCCCATTCAAAGATTCTTACCCCTCCCCCAACACTATATAAGTCCCTGCTTGATGCAATAAAGTGAGATCCTGCTGTGACAGACTACATTGTTTCTCCCCATAACTAGGAGGATGTGGTTTGAGTCAGTTGTCTACTCTCATCATCTTGCTCAGCCCTGAGAAGGAAACCAGCTGGACTGGTCCTTCTCTAGCCCTACCTGCCAGAGGGTCCAGCACATGCAGCTACTCATATGTA